TTTTTTATTTAATTTTTTAGGAATATCCCCATCCCATTTTTTTTGCTCCATTTAGTACGTTTCAGGACATGTTTTCTGCCGCTCAAACAACAGCGTCCATGCTATCTGCCTCAGGTGTACTGTCATATTCTGATGCACCATCACGTCAAGGTGGAAGCTTGGCCCCTGGTGCACCTATAGGTGTACCTCCGGGGCAAACAGATACATCTCAAGGCGCTGGAGGACAACAACAGGCTGCGTTACCAGGTGGAAGTGGACTACCAGCGTATGTATTTTTGTTGCTCTTTTGTTTTGCAAAAAGATCGGCGCAGCTCGGCAACAGGGGAGAGCATTTTGCACTTTTGCTGCTTCTCATTTCGAGTTCATGCTTTACCAGAGTTGACAAGTTGCAGAATGCCACCCCCTCCCGTCTCCGAACTAAGTCCGTATTTGTGTCACAAATTTGTTATAGGCTTTCCGGTGGCGTACAGTTCCAATGCCCACGTCGACCAAACCACGGACTTGAAGGACGTTCCATTTTACTGCGAGCAAATCATTTTGCAGTACGTATGCCAGGTGGTACCATTCAGCACTATCATGTAGACGTGTCACCAGACAAATGTCCACGGAGAGTGAATCGGTCAGTAACTCTCATACCTCATGTCCCTCTTACTAATGTAACGAATCAAATCCTTTTTTAGAGAAATCATTTGCTGTATGATCCGCTCCTTTGGCAAGTACTTCAGTTCGAGTAGACCGGTCTATGATGGGAAGAGAAATATGTATACACGGGAACCATTGCCGATTGGCAGAGAAAAGATGGAATTCGAGGTGCGTTTTTGGGGATTTGAATCACACAAGATTCTCGGCGCTGGGAAGAGGGCATTCAATCGACTCCTTGTGCAAAATGGGATTGCCGTAAAACGGATGGGGATTCCTCCCTTAAAACTAGGGAAATAAGGAGCGGGCCACTTCCCGCTTCTGGAGGGGGGATTTTGGAAAACACGACCCCCCCCTCCCAATTTTCTTCTTCATTACGATCCCCTTCCCATCCAATTTACCATCTGTAATTTTTCCCTACTAGTTTTTCTTACTTATGTGAAAAATTTCACAGTTTTCCCTCCCGAAAAAATGGTGCCGAAATCAATAACCGGGAAAAATTCTCTCGCGCACGGGAAAACTCCTATCAAGTCCAGAAGCAGTCCCCCCCCTGTAAGAGCGAAGTGCAGACGCCCCCTCCATCCTTTCTCCACTTGGAGTCTCCCAC